CATTAGCACCTCTAGTAATATATTTACTGAGAAAAATGGTGACGTGTTCAATACTTATTTTACCTGCTGTATGTGTCTTTTATACTAAAGAGGAGATGGACCACTGAGTCTGTTGTCAACACTCAATTCAAAAGTCTGCCTCTCTGATAGTATATGGGTGCATTAATGCCTATCAGGAAATCATTACTAAATATATGTACAGTATAAACAGGTGTTAGATCAACAAATGCTCCTATTCAGCAAAAATCTGTAAAGATAACCTATTGAAGAGTTCAGAGATATATCATTTACTGCCAGAAATACTGCTCAGAAAGCATTTGAGAAGGAAAGTTGTATTTATTCCTGGTACAATTTATGGTTTTGAAAGAGCAATCACAGCAAAACATTCGAAATCTCAAGGCCAATTTTTACTCAAACGCCTGAAAAACGTATTTTTTTCTTGTCTGCTCTGTATGTCCCAGTTTTCTGCTTTGATAAAAAATGATTTGAAAAAAAAAAATCCAGTTATAAAAAACACTAAACAGAATTTACTAAGCAGCGCTATAAAAAACTGTAATCATCAAATAAAAACAAAGCCTTGACCTCACTTTTTATTCTGTGATGGAAACACAGAAAGAGGCAGATAAAACATCAGCACGAGTCAGTAAAAATATGAAACTGATAAATTAATCTGGTCTTTTAGTTTGGTATTTCTCAGAAAGATGAACTTCCTATCCATTTGCGATCACGTGGCGACAGTTTTGTGGTCGGCAGCAGGTCTGGGCTGCTCATAACAGGCCGAACATTCAGACTGTGCTTCAGTGTGCAGGGCTCCATAATGACACCACGAGCAGATGCTGACGACTCTCTGCTCTCTGGGCGACACGCGCCATCATTTAAAAGCCATAGAGAGGTAAAAAAAAACGCTGCAGCAAGTGCGAGATTGGAAAGTAATTTCAGGACTTTAGAGAAAAGGGACCAATAAACACAGGAAAAAGAGACAGAGGTTAGTTGGCTCTTAGATGTCACTTGAGAAGAAAGCGCTGTCAGTAAAAGTGAAAATCTGAAGCGCAGCAGGGGAAACTCAGGGAAAAGAGAAAGTTTCTTTGTGACTTCGGCTTGTCACCTTTTAGCTTTGAATTTAGACGTTAGGCATTCAAGTTGGAAAGTTTCCTCACATTTTCCTGYCTTTTAATCTCACCCTAATTTCACTTCCTTCCCTGACGACATTCATCCAAACCCTTAAACCTCACCACCAGGGTGTCATTTGTTCTTAAAAGTCGCCTTTCAAGTTAAAAAAAGTCACTTTGGATTTAGTCCTGCAGTCAGACATGAAGTCATGCATCGAGTTGATTTTTTATTGCCTTTTCACTGATGGTGTTTGACTGTACTGTTAGCAAATTATTTCTTGAATTTTATTAAATTTTTCAGAAATAACTATCAGTTGTGCAGCTACAGCTGATTTAGGCTGTTTTCACACCAGCCCTGTTTAGTCCGCTTTAATCAAGCTAGTTCGTTTGGGGAGGTGAGAACGTGTAACCGAACTCTGATTCAGACCCAAAAAATGAACTCTGGTCATCCTGAAAACCAGTGGTGGGCGGCACTAATCTAAAAAGTAGTTGCACTAACCCTAAAGCACTAACTTTAATATTTAGGTCCCCTAATTCTAAAGCGTGTCCCAAGGGGGGCCTTGTGGGGGGTTCTCCGGGAGTATGGGGTACCGGGCCCTTTGATTCGGGCTGTCAGGTCCTTGTACGACCGGTGTCAGAGTCTGGTCCGCATTGCCGGCAGTAAGTCGGGCTCGTTTCCGGTGAGAGTTGGACTCCGCCAAGGCTGCCCTTTGTCACCGATTCTGTTCATTACTTTCATGGACAGAATTTCTAGGYGCAGCCGAGGTGTTGAGGGGATCCGTTTTGGTGGCCTTAGGATCGCATCTCTGCTTTTTGCGGATGATGTGGTCCTGTTGGCTTCATCGGAACGWRATCTGCAGCTCTCGCTGGAGCGGTTCGCGGCAGAGTGCGAAGCGACCGGGATGAGGCTCAGTACCTCCAAATCCGAGGCCATGGTCTTGAGCCGGAAAGGGGCAGAGTGCCTTCTCCGGGTCTGGGGGGTCGTCCTGTCTCAAGTGGAGGAGTTTAAGTATCTGGGGTTCTTGTTCACGAATGGGGGGAAGAAGGGAGCGGGAGATCGACAGGCGGATTGGCGCAGCGTCTGCTGTAAAGCGGGCGCTGTACCGGTCCGTCRTGGTGAAGAGAGAGCTGAGTCAGAAAGCGAAGCTCTCGATTTACCGGTCGATCTACGTTCCTACCCTCATCTATGGTCATGACCGAAAGAACGAGGTCCCGGATACAAGCGGCCAAAATGGGTTTCCTCCGCAGGGTGTCTGGGCTCTCCCTTAGAGATAGGGTGAGAAGCTCGGTCATCCGGGAGGGACTCAGAGTAGAGCCGCTGCTCCTCCACGTCGAGAGGAGCCAGTTGAGGTGGCTYGGGCATCTGGTAAGGATGCCTCCTGGACGCCTCCCTGGTGAGGTGTTCCGGGCACGTCCCACCGGGAGGAGGCCCCGAGGAAGACCCAGGACACGCTGGAGGGACTATGTCTCTCGGCTGGCCTGGGAACRCCTTGGAGTTCCCCCGGAGGAGCTGGAAGAAGTGGCTGGGGAGAGGGAGGTCTGGGCCTCCCTTCTGAAGCTGCTGCCCCCGCGACCCGACCCCGGATAGGCGGAAGAAAATGGATGGATGGATGGATAATTCTAAAGCACTAACACACTTGAAAATTTTAGCAAAAACTAATTCTAAAGCACTGAAATCCCTGCTGACCCATGGAACATTCCTCAGAGTTAACATGAGACAATATTTTCTGTGCAGAATATTGATATTTTATCTTGTGTAGCGGTYACCAAAGTTGTGGGTCACAAAACATCAAGTGAGSGTCCCCAGATGATTTCCAGACATCAATTTCAATGCTAAAAAAATGCTAATGGTATATTTTCATCATGATTATTGCAATTTTTTTAAAAAACCATAAATGAATACAAATTAGTCTCATAGTTATTAGGTTTGTTTATAGTTATTATTCCCATGTTTAACAGTTATTAGTAAAGTTTGCTATGTAAACAAGTAATTTATGAGGTCACAAGTGTCTGCAACTGTTATTTTGTGGGTCAGAAGCAATAAAGTTTGAAAACCACTGATCTAGTGGAGAAGTGACCGACACGCCTGACAGCTTCTCATAATAATGTTGATCAATAATATTTAAAGAACTCAATTAGTGCTCATAGATTTAGCCCATAAATTTAGCAAGTGTTAATCCACTAATGAATTCAGAAATTAGCAAAAGTCCTAAAGCATTAATCAGGAAATTAGTCCCCCCATTAGTGGTTTAGGGGAACTGTGCCCACCACTGCTGAAAACCTCGTAGGTCTGGGTTCGGTTGAAGAACTCTGGTGTGGTTCGATATGTGTGAACGTCAAGCAGACCGGAGACCTCTCCAAAAGCAGGAAGTGAACTATAACCCAGAGCATTCTGGGTAATAATAGTAATAAAGTTACTCAGATCTTGTAAGTACCTCGCTGGACCCCTGGATGCTCCTCTGTGAACRCTTCCTCACATGGAGTCGCCTCAGTGGCCTTGTGTGGGAAACGTTCTCCACGGTTCCACCTCATCTTCCTCTCATGCTGAGCTCATGTTGAAGAGTGTTCGTTTGACACTTTAAAAACAAAAAAATAAATCCTACAAACACTAAAATCTGACGTCACTCCATGTTTGTGAAGAAGGAAGTTGTGCTCAGCSTCTTCTTCTGAGGTTTTTCATGTTGATTCCTTCAGTGGTTCTTGGTGCAGCGCCCCCACAGGTGAGGGAGGGAACAGGTTGTTCACAGGCTTTAGTCCAGGTGTTTCCAAACTGTTTCTCACATGGGCCAAAATCATAAAGTCAGAAGGACTTGAGGGCAAGAATATTTTTCCTTTACCTGCTCAACAATAAACTAAGCATTGAATACTTTGATTAAACAGATAAAGTAGTCGATTTATTGCAGGAAATGGATGCGTAAATTAATCTAGATCCAGAACTTTACAAGTGTTTTTGCAGGTTTCCCTTATTGAAAGAAGTTTTGCAATTTTCTAGGTTTCAATTGGGGGGGGGAAATAACCCAATTTAGTCAATTCTKATCAATAAAATCAGGATTTAGGTCACACTTTTGTTGAAAATGCTTGCTGTATTCAGACGAATTTAATAAATTACTTAAAAGCCGATTGGAATCAGTTTCTGAGTAGAAGTCACTAGATAGATGTGGAAAAAGCTGAGAGCCTGGTTATTTAAAGACACATTATTGATATTGTTGCCAATGTTTTTTTATTCTAAGATTTTACTTTGTGATAAATTTGCCCTAATAATAAATAGAAAGTCTCCATCTACATCAAACACCTGTGCTGGGGGGACACATTTGTAAACAGATTAGTATAATTCTTGAAGTGAAGTCAGGGGGCCACACAAAATCAGTTTAGGGGCCACAAATGGTCCCCGGGCCACACTTTGGACATCCCTGGTTCAGTCTGTTTGACAAAGAACAGTGTAAATGTGAACCACACCAACTGAAAATGTAAACAAATCTTGCAATTTTGGTCCCCAATCGAACCGAGTCTATCAGGTGTGAATAAGACCTAACGTGGCCACAGTTCACATAAAAACGTTTACAGCTTGGTAAATTTGATAAATATTGAGCTAAAATTTGATGTGAAACCCCACACCTCTGCTTAAATGCTTGACATTACRTGCTGGAGTTTGTCATTTAGCAAAGTTTAGAATCAAGTGACTTTGTCCTGTTTGTTAAAGAAGGTCTTTTTCTGGTGACATTTAGCCAACGCTGCTATGATGCTAATTTTGCTTTGTTCTACTGGTTCCTGGAGTGCAGGAAGCTAAAGGGCAAAGCTAGCTGAGCAACAAACCAAAGAAAGAGAAACACAGAATAACAACACAGCTCTAAATGACAGTGGTCCAGTCCCAGGGGGGCAGTTGATGAGCCATTAGCCCGTGCAGCATTCAAAGCCTTCTGCAGCGCTCAGCTGGCAACGAGTTGGAATCTGGAAACTCTTCAAACCCCCGAGCCCTCAGCTAATTCTTGGAACGTCTGTCTGGGAAAAACAAGTTGAATCAGTAAAAACTCCTAAACTGTGAGGGCAAACAGAGCAGCTCGGGGGGTTTTCTGCTGTTTGGGACCATTTTTAAATGTTTTGGATGAAAAACACCCAGACACTGAAGCAGCAGCCTGCTGTAATAATCTGTGGTGAGTGTCACTAAAGCTGACTTTTGTTTCCATAGCATTTACATTTGACTCTACGTTAAATACTAAATCTTGTTTTGTTATTTTTTGATCGACCAAAGGAATCTTAGAGCTGAGTGTGTTATGCACACAGATGTGCACTAAAACAAGCACTTTACTTTTTTACCACACGTCTCAAAGAAGCAAACCTTTCCCACTAGCCTGAGGGCCCCCTCCACCTGCAGGTGAGGAAGGTGAGCTGTGACAGGAGCTCACGCCCACAGCTCTACCTGAGGGAACTTTGACATGTTTACAGGCCGTGGTAAATGTGTCTCTTTGTGTGCAGATTGATTTTCCTGCACTGCAAAGTTGAGCTGTTTTATTCCAGAAAAACTCCAAGACACGTGTCAGTGTACTTGTTTTTAGGACCGTTTCCAGTATACACACCTACCTTGTCAAGATCAGTAGTCCTAATTCTCAAAGTCGAACAGCCGGGTTCTTTGTCACGTGACCACATTGTAGACGGAGGCTGACTTATTGGTTTGGGGGAAAATGTGGAAAATAGGAAAAATGGTGAAAAGTTGCTGTAAGACTGCACTTCTCACATAAAAAAACAAACATCCAGAGATAAAATATTAATATTTTTTCTAACTGCAAGTGTGAGGGCATACTTGTTGCCCCCCATCTTGGCGCCTGTACGTTGGGGTTTACCCCGGTGAACGAGAGGGTGGCCTCCCTCCGCCTAAGGGTGGGGGGACGGGTTCTGACTGTTGTCTGTGCTTACGGGCCAAACAACAGTTCAGATTACCCACCCTTTTTGGAGTCCTTAGAGGGGGTACTGGAGGGTGCTCCCCCTGGGGAC